CTCTGACTACGTTGCTTGCTGTTTTATATCTTAGGCGTTAGACACTCTCTCGATGACCCCCCCCACCCAGTCCGACGACTAGAGCAGTTAGTTAGGGGATCAAAGGCAATGCACGGGCCGACGCACGTTCGTTGGTATCTCTCAGATCCATAGCCAAGCCAGTTTGTAGAAGTTGGAGAACTAGGGTTAGCTTTTAAAGTAAAGGCTAGGTTTTAGGGTTAAGGCAAGGCTTAAAATTAGGTTTAGGGCAAGTGTCAAGGCTAGGGATCGGCTAAGTGTAATTTTAAGGCAAGGGTCAGGTGTTAGGTTTAGGCATGGATTCCACTAATATAAGGGTCAGTAGCTAATTGGTCTGGTAAGGTGATATGTGCTATAAGTGTTTTATATCTTAGGGTCAGAGTCAGGGTCAGGGTTAGGGCTAATTGTTTTTTAAATTTCTTGTTCTTGAATGGTGCGTCAGATGCGCATGCGATGAAAAAAACGTCCAAAACGTACGAAATTACAGTGCATAACTTTTCGTACAATTTCATACGAACTCATAATGAGAATACACTGCCCCACTGGCGTAACTCTCTGAAGGACTGGTGTGGACATGTCCCCACCCACTTTGGGCATGGAGGGGAAATGTCCCCACCAATAATTTCCGCTTTCTGCTGATTCTAATTCAGCCAACAGTAACTGGCTGCAGCTGTCTGTGTTCAGATTGTTTCAGTCCGTGTTTTCTCCTCGCTCTCCCACTGCTCTCCAGTCCCTCCATTCGGTGAAATATCGTGGAATCTGTCGCTTTGAGACATAATATTATTTGGGGTTGTTATTCACTGCGGTCAGATTCGCTGCATGGAGGAGAGAAGAGAGACACAGCAGCACTCAGTGAATATTAACCAGCAGCTACTTTGGTGTTTCAGTAAAAGTTAGGAGAATAGTTGGTTAAAAAAAATTTGCGATTCCATCGAAAACTCAGTTTGTTACATACTGAGCTTTTTCAGCTAAAAATGGCGGACCTGTCTGCCTGCGTTTGGATCCAGCTGTTATTGTTCAGCCTGCAGGAACAGCTGATGAATGCAGATCGTTCCCTCATAGCTGAAGCACCGACCGTCCGTCTGCAGGTTATGCAGCATCGCTACGACGCCGTGAAGAATAAATCACTTTTCATTTGGATTGTTTTCCAACATGATGAATCTTTTTATTTATTTATTTTTTTGTGAAATGATTTTCTAAAGATTTGACTCAAACTTGTGTTTTCAGCATTGGTAGTCCTAACCATGCTGGTACATTAATAATCATGTTAAAATCCAGCATTATTGATGAAAATGATTGCTTAGTACGGACAGCTGACCTCTGACCCCCGATTCACTCAGACTCCTTCATCCGTTCCCATGAATAGAAGCTTCTGTATTCAGTGGCGTAATTCCCAGCGCCTCTAACAGCTCATGTTTGATCTGTTATTGATCATGTTTCAGATGTTTGTTCTTTAAAATCCTCTCATTTAAAATATCCTTAAAGGTTTTTTTTTTACTTCAGGGCCTCTTGAGTAAAAACAGAACGGAGCTTTCCTTTGTTTCTTTTCCTAATTGCTTTTCAGAGCTGGAAATTTCCTAAATGCAATAAAAAAAAAAAACCTTTTAGAGAAACAGAGAAAGTACGATCAGACTTAAAGAGATTTCATTTTCACTTCATGTTCAGGGACAACTCAAGCGAGAAAGAAAAACTTCTGGATAAAAGAATCCTGTTTTTAAAATTTTACGATTTGAGGTAAATTTAATAACCCCCCACCCCCACCCCCACTCCACATGTTTACAGGGTGGCATTAGGTTTATTCATTCTTCATGTTTATTGCTGTTTATGGTTATATATTGTATCGTTGGGAGGTGAACATAGCGGAGGGATTTCTCTGTTCCTCAGCAGAAGATTAAAGCAGCATTTAAGCTTAACTAAAGTCTCCATCTGAATGTCAATAAGTTGCATATTATCAGCGGCTCCTGCTGTTGCTCTGGAAATCAGAGCTTCCATTGATCTCTGCTGTGTCTGAGTGCTTCCTGCAGCTTTGAAGTTTTATTTCCAGATGATTCCATTGCTTCGATTGTTTGGGAACAGGCGTCATTATGCTGCTTTATCTGACCAATAAAGAAAAAGAATAAATAAACATATGCAGATGGGTTTAGATCAGCTTTTCAACAGACAGCTGGTTTAAAACATGATGTCTGTTAGTTTGAGCGGATTAGAAGCTGCAGCCTGATTGTTGTTAAAAAGCTGGATTTCCTTCAGTGCTAACGCAGCTCTGCTCCAAGGCTCCCTCTGGGAATTTCACAATGATTTAGGAGCCTTTCCATCCCAACAGGATGTCCCGCTGAGATGCAGCAACATCTCTGTAAAGCAGCAAGGAGGTGGAATTTTGGGATTTTTCGTTTTGAAACAGAATTTGGACTTCCAGGATTTTATTTATTTAATATTAAAAAATAAAAAGAACGGATAATTTTGGACTTTCAGTTATTAGGGTTGTTTTGTTTTGTTTTTTGCAGATATAAATTGAGACGTTGAGTTTACTTATAAAATGGTAGTGAAGGTTTTTGGGTTATCGATCTATTGATACTGAATTATTATTGAATGAAACTTTGGATTCCTGTTAGTATTGCGTTTTTTTTTTTTTTTTTTTTTTTTTATCTTTGTTGCTAAAAATCAACAAAATCCTACTAAGTGGTTGGATATTTTTTTCTTTCGTCTCAAATTTAAAATGTAACATATTTTGCCTGTATTCCTGTGACAGAATCCCCCTTTAATATTTTTGAGATCTGCTTTTAATCAAGCTGAATTTTACAAACGGGTCTCACCATCTTTGCGGGGTCTTTCCATTGACTTCCATTCAGTTCTACAGCCTAAAACCTCTGACCTCTGACCGTTAGGGGTTCAGACCTAAACCTAAGCCCAGCCTAAACTCAGTTCACACCTCAGTCCTAAACGTGACCTCTGACCCCGAAACAACCTTAAGACATGATGCAGGCTGCGGGAAGGCTAGCGGGATGCTAGGAGCTGGTGGGGAGAACAGAAACAGGAAAGTCTCTGTAATGAGGGGCAACAAAAAATGGTTGGATGTCAGAATTCTGGATCAGAGCAGCTAAAACAATTGATACTATACTCTCTCTCTCTCTCTCTCTCTCTCTCTGTATATACGTATATATATATATATAGAGAGAGAGAGAGAGAGAGAGAGAGAGGTCCTCTCCTCTTCTTGACGAATTATTGACTCGGTTTGCATTCAAACTCTGAATGTTGGAAGTAAAATGATTTCTGATGCAAAGTGATCAGCATCAACCATCTAGTTTCCTTTTATAGGAAGAAATCAAACCAGCCGGGTTTATGCAAAGGAAGCGTAGAAAACCTAAAATCATAAGGAACCTGTGACTAGGGGAAGATTTAGGAAATTCTGGGCCCTAGGCAAGGACAGGCAGGGGGCCGTCTCAATATAGAAGACAACACATAGAACAGCCCCATTCTCCAGATGTAGAAATGTTAATAGAATAGACATCCATTATCTGTTCTAGGTTGTGTCCCTCTCTTCTTGTCCCTTTTCTTCTTGTTTTCCTCTCTATGTTTTGTACTCAGCTGACTTTTCATGCTGTCTCTAAAGGAATGAAAGATTTTTTCCAAGCACTAAGCTCACTTAGCTGATTGCTCCTTCCTGTGTTTCCAAAAAGGCCAAAGTAAATAACCCAGTCCTTCTTTTCACTGTAGACAAGCCATGATCTGCTTATCTGTTCTCCATTTTTCATTTGGATGAAATAATAGCTGCATGAATCATGACAGCAGACAAGATAGAGGAGAGCAGGAGGCGGGGTTACCAATCTACTCGCTCTGGAGAGCAGAGTTCGCTGCTTTTAGATGTTGTCTCCAAAGTCTCCAGTAGCAGAAAAAAGTCTCTAGATTTGGCGCTAGGAGCTTTTTAGAAATCAAAGTGCTAGAGGGGTCTGAAAAGTGGCTAAATATAGCGACTAAAGCGCTAAGTTGGCAACACTGCTCTTTGCATGGTTTGTTTTTTAAATGGTTTGCTGCTGTCTGTTTGGACCTTTCTGAACATGTGCAGGTATAAAAAAAAAAACAAACAAAAAAACTAAGTCAATACTGACTTGTTTGAACATAGCGGGGAAACTTCAAGCGGCCAAACATGCTGCCACTGATCCTTGTTTTCTTAAAGGTGCACAAAAATAAACCATCTTATTCCAAATGGTTTCTGCTGTATAAACAGAACCAAACAGCTTTTCCAAAGTCAGGTCATTTGTAAGCCTACCATCCAAAGTAATGCTCTACTAGCTCACCAGCTTCATTAATGTAACGTTTGAGTCCTTTTGGAAAAATGGAAATGATATAATAAGCAATCAAGTCAACCGTGGCTTTACCCCCAGGAAAGAAGGAAGCGGCTGTGATTTCCAGGGAAACAGCAGGAACACGCTTTCTGTTTCTGCACAGAAACAATTACTGTTCCTCTCCCAGCTTATCTCCTCACAGGCGGGTCGCTCACATTTACACTGGATCTCAGCACACAAACCAGAGCTTTAATAAACCCCGGTAACAATGACACCAGAGGTCGGGCCCTTTAAGCACATTCAAATGCATGTCTTTCCTAATTAGGCCATGCATGGCTGCACAGGCTTACAGAAATAGCAGCAGATTCTCTGTTTGCTTCACTGTTTTAATGCTAATAAAGAAACAAACCGGCTGAAAATACATAAAGTGGAATGAAAAAGGTTTGGGAATTGCCCGCTACTGGGAATAACGTGCTATCAGCCAAAATGCACGTACGATATTTCTGTCCATTAGTTCTCCTAATTAATTAGCCCAATTACAAGAGAGCAATTTATTTAGCAGTAAATGATGACACCGCAGTGATGATCTGGAACAGGTAAGGATGGGAGTTAGTGAAGCGAGAAATCCAGCAGGAGAGAGGAAGTCACAGACAGAAGCAGGAAACAGGTGGAACAAAAGAAGGAGGGAGAAGCAGCGGAAACTTCCAGCAGTAATGATGAGCAGGACCAAAGCCTCACCTGGACTGGAGATAAACTTCCAGCTGATGGAAGGTTCCGGTTTCCCGCCGGCTTGGCACAGCAGGGTCACATTAGATCCTTCATTCACCACAAGATCCCTCGAAAGATTGATGATTTTTGGAGGCACTAAGTTAGAAAGAGAGAAAGGAAAAGATTTAAATAAACACACATGAGTTTATAAATCTAGTTTTTTTTATTTTTCAACGCAGGTGGAACGAGTTCTTTGGGGAAAGCTGATTTAATGGAGCATTTCCTTTGGTTAAAATGTTGTTTAATGGTAAACATACACTATATTGCCAAAAGTATTTGCTCACCCATCCAAATTATTGGAATCAGGTGTTCCAATCACTTCCATGGCCACAGGTGTATAAATTCAAGCACCTAGGCATGCAGACTGTTTTTACAAACATTTGTGAAAGAATGGGTCGCTCTCAGGAGCTCAGTGAATTCCAGCGTGGAACTGTGATAGGATGCCACCTGTGCAACAAATCCAGTCGTGAAATTTCCTCGCTCCTAAATATTCCACAGTCAACTGTCAGCTGTATTATAAGAAAATGGAAGTGTTTGGGAACGACAGCAACTCAGCCACGAAGTGGTAGGCCACGTAAACTGACGGAGCGGGGTCAGCGGATGCTGACGCGCATAGTGCGAAGAGGTCGCCAACTTTCTGCAGAGTCAATCACTACAGACCTCCAAACTTCATGTGGCCTTCAGATTAGCTCAAGAACAGTGCGCAGAGAGCTTCATGGAATGGGTTTCCATGGTCGAGCAGCTGCATCCAAGCCATACATCACCAAGTGCAATGCAAAGCGTCGGATGCGGTGGTGTAAAGCACGCCGCCACTGGACTCTAGAGCAGTGGAGACGCGTTCTCTGGAGTGACGAATCGCGCTTCTCCATCTGGCAATCTGATGGACGGGTCTGGGTTTGGCGGTTGCCAGGAGAACGGTACTTGTCTGACTGCATTGTGCCAAGTGTAAAGTTTGGTGGAGGGGGGATTATGGTGTGGGGTTGTTTTTCAGGAGCTGGGCTTGGCCCCTTAGTTCCAGTGAAAGGAACTCTGAATGCTTCAGCATACCAAGACATTTTGGACAATTCCATGCTCCCAACTTTGTGGGAACAGTTTGGAGCTGGCCCCTTCCTCTTCCAACATGACTGTGCACCAGTGCACAAAGCAAGGTCCATAAAGACATGGATGACAGAGTCTGGTGTGGATGAACTTGACTGGCCTGCACAGAGTCCTGACCTCAACCCGATAGAACACCTTTGGGATGAATTAGAGCGGAGACTGAGAGCCAGGCCTTCTCGTCCAACATCAGTGTGCGACCTCACAAATGCGCTTCTGGAAGAATGGTCAAAAATTCCCATAAACACACTCCTAAACCTTGTGGACAGCCTTCCCAGAAGAGTTGAAGCTGTTCTAGCTGCAAAGGGTGGACCGACGTCATATTGAACCCTATGGATTAGGAACGGGATGTCACTTAAGCTCATATGTGAGTCAAGGCAGGTGAGCAAATACTTTTGGCAATATAGTGTAAATGAGTCATGATTCCAGAACCTTCTGCTAACCGTCTACCTGCTCATTTTACACTCCATAGATTACATGACAGCCATTCTCCTTCTACATAACAGCAAACAGCTATGAATTCATTTAAATCTACTTTCCTTTAAGTAAACCAGGAGTTTTTAAAGTTCATGTCCAAAAGTCTCTGCCTCTGCAAAGACCAACCAGGTTGAATGTCTAGATCAGAGGGCACGGATCCAGACCCAACCCGATTTAAAACATTTATAAATGACTGCATGATGTCAGACGACAGTGTTTAATTTCTCTTGCGCCTCTTCTCCTGTTAATACGGTAAAGCCCTCCGGAGCGTCCGGCTCCAGGCTGCACGTCTAATTGGCGCAGTGACTCATTGCGCTCATGGTGTCCTCCTGGTTCCTGCTCCTCTTATGCTGCCTGTTTGCCTTCCATCAGAGCCAGATCATTCCAGCTGTTTATCTAGAGCTCTTTATATTGTTTTGAGATTCTGATTCTGGCCTGTTTCCACCTTTAGATACCAGAGTTTTTCTTTTTTCCTGCTCTGTCAGTATCGTTTATTCTGGACTGATTCCTGGATTCTGCTGGTTACGCGAACTTGGACGGTTCTTCCGGCTTGGGTTCTCCTCTGATCTTCTGGTCTGTTAACAGGTTCTGCTTCGACTCTGCCACTGACACTGCTGTTCCTCAGCGTCGGCTGGCGTCAGCTCTGCTGATCACTCTGAACTCTGATAGCGGCACTTGGATCAGACTCAACTCTGAATAAGCAAAGTTTTGCTCATCAGCCCATTATTCTAGTCACTAACTGTATTATATTAAATAAAAGCTTGTTTGAAAATTGTCCAGATCTGTCTGCTTTGAATATCAGGTCAAAGGTCGTGAGGTCCTGACAGTTTTATAGAGTTTAAATAAAGTTTAAATAAAGCTAAAGGTTTTCCATTGATTAATCCTGATCTGTAGAAACACTAAGATCCACACAGTAATTTAGATGCAGTTTATATTAACTAATAAACTCTAATCATCCTCTAAACACTGTTAAAGAACCTCTAATGGTTTAATGCCACATTCAGCAGCCAGGTGGCTGTCAGATCTGGGTTTACCTTGGACTAAAACATGAACTGAAGTTGTTCTGGGCCGTCTGCTGGTCTGGACTGCACACACGTACTGTCCTTCATCTGCCATGTCCACGTTTTCGATCTTAATGGTGAACTCCTCTTGGTTCAGGGTCACCAGACTCACTCTGGGGTCAACCGACCATTTGTCCTCGCCGGCGTAAAGTATACTGGAGCGGTTCAGCCATGCTGCGTGTGTCACAACGTCCTCCTGTTCACACCTGCAAAGCAAACACAACGACATGCAGATAAGAAAGGAGAGGAAATGATTCCCCTCAGTCACAGAATCTTTCATCAGGTCAACAGACACTAAACTACTATCAGCAAGTTTAATGACAAAAAGCACCTTCTGCCTCAAACAGACCTGTTTTAATCCCATTCAGCCCTAATTAACGCCCGGGGTGGGGGAGGGGGGATGACCTGCAGTTTTTAGACAGTCCCTGAATCCCATGGCGGAGCTACCTCCCCAGCAGACTCAGAGTCCTGCTAATTATTCACTAAGGTCTGTTAAAGCAGAGACACGTCTGAAGGTTGCAGGACGCCTGGCCTAAAGGACTGGAACAAGTCGTTGGTCAGACTGGTGACGTCTGCATCGTGTTCACTGTGCTGAAAATTTACATTTCTCTTATTTCAAATATTGAGTTAAGCCATTTATCCAATGAAAAATGTTTTCAATCTGTTTCACCTGCAAGGCCACAAACCGTCTGAGTGAGGAGTGTTTGCTTCTATTCCCATTTATTCATAACATGTTCCACCTCATTTTGGGAAATTCTCGGCTATATTTTGCTCACCCGAATGGAAAAGCAAACTACGGAACTGTAAGCCCAAATTACATGTGTGATACATTATTTGAAAGTTAACACCCTTTAGTTTCTGAATATATTTTAATGAAAATTGGGAGAATAAAACAAAGCCAGAGCTGTTCAGTTCAAACATGAATGAATCAAAGTCGTTTTTTTTATTCTGAAAAATAATAGATCTTTTTTGAACAGTAGTAATAAAGCCATGCTTGCTTGTTGTGGCGACTATATCATGTTTACATTTTGACATGCTTTTATATCTGGGTTAATTGTGCTTTGACCATGACCACTATGACCATAAAATCAACTTGGTGGTTGAATTGTGGAGAATCTGTTTTCCAACAACGTGTAACATGTTCATATTGGTAAACATATTACTGGTGTAATTTTTATGCATTCTGAGTAACGCTATAAAACGGCGGCCGCCGGCGACCCGGTGGGTTTTGAGAGGTTAACCAAAGTGTCTGTAATTTATTTTGACTCTGACTACTTTCTATTATTGTAAATAAAGGGGAACCAATGCTGCCCTGATCAGAACAGGGCTGATTACCGTGCATAAGGGCTGTATGATGGACTGTTTTCTTTTTGCAAAGATAAAAAATAAAGTGCCGTCTGAGTTAATTGGAGTGAAAAGTTGTCATGGTCCTGGTCTGATTGTTCCTGTTTTCCTTAGTTATCCATTTGTTGTCCTCTGCTGCCCTCTTGTGTCCTCCCTTCCTCTGTTTCTCTGTCCTGCCAGCACCTGCTGCCAATTTCCTCGTCAGCTCTCTCTCTGTCTCTGTCCCCTTTAAAAGCCCTCCCTGTTCAGTTCCTGTTTGCTGGATCCTCGTCAAACATCCCGTCTGGCTTCCTGTCTGTTATCTGCCTGCCCTGTCTCGTCTCTCCCTGGCTTCTAGTTTTGATTTACCCCTGATGTCTCCTTGGTTCAGGTTCATTTGCTGTTTTTCTGTTGGACTCTGATTCCTGCCCCTGGTTCTGTGAACCAGAATAAACAGGCTTTATTCACCTCTGCCTACTGGTCTCTGCGTTTGGGTCCTCCACACAAACACCGTTCATGACAGAAGGTATTTCTCTTTTCTTGGAGCAGATATCTGTAGGTCATAATTGACGCCCCCCCCCCCGCCCACCTGCTGCACAATAATGGTTGCTCCACCCCCTTGCAGGAACACCAACAAGTAGTGATGGTGAGATGAAGCCTCATTGAACCGTTTGGCCAAATTGCTTCAACGATCCCCACAGTTCATGAGGCTTCAAGTGAACATGTCACCACCTACTGGTGGACAGCAGAACTACAGTTAGTAATAAAATCAGTGATTTTTTTTGCAATTGTTTTTCTTCTTTCCCCTTTTAAGTTCCCTTGAAATTTTTAATGGTTGGTGTGTATAATAAAATCTTTTGTAAGTTTTTTTTTTAAGTGTAAAATTTCCTAGAACAGTCATTTAAGGTGCACCGTTTTTCTGCCATTTTAGTGAAATAAACTTTTTTTTTTTTTTTTTATCAGGTTGGAAGTTGTGTTCAACCAATTTTTTGACTAAACCGACCTAATTTTCCCAATCTATATTTTTACTCAGGCAAAACTATGCAAATTAGTCTCATCAGCCAAAATAATTAAGTTTAATCGCAACTTTCATAAGAGAAAGACAGGTCTTGAACCACCAACCTCTAAGGTGAGAGTCTGTCTCTTACAGACAACACCACTCTTGCATACAGTCCAACCTAGGAGAAAATCCTAGTTAATACTAACGTGTTAACACTGACTTTGTTCGGTGGTTTGCTCAGATTTTGATTGTTACATTGTTTATTCAAACCAAATTAGCTTTAAGAAACTACATTGGTTGGAAAAACAACCAATTTATTCTTAGAATCTATCCAAACTTTATCCAGCTGACAGCAGCTCTCCTCCAAACTCCCACATCTTGACTGAACACTGAGGCTGTTTAGATGCCTGTCAAAATTCTTGGGCTTCCCGAACCACATTCCGAAGCGGTCACGTGGTTTCACGGTAGCGAGGCCTCGGACGTCATCAATTTTGGCCCCTCCTCTAAATGAATCACGCCTCGACACGCGCTTCGGGGAAACGCCCCCTCCATTACTCGACACACGCCTCGAAGCCTCGGCTCATCTCATAACATCACTACCAACAACTGCTTCAGAGAGAACATCCAGTGTTAGTGCTTCATGTTTATATTTTTGCACTTTTGTTTGTTTTTACTTCGAAGCCTTTTACTATATTAATATTGATATCTGGTTACTGCACTATTTTACAGGGTTATATTTAATAACTGTTTCTTCAAGATTCTTTACATTCATTTTTACTGTTTACATTGTTTTTACTGCTGGCTTTTTATTGCAGATTTATTATTTATATATTTATACATTGTATTGACAGGTTCTTTCTTCTAACTGATTGTTTTATCTTTAATTTAATTGTATTATTGTCTTTTCTCAGTAAAATTCTTCTTGTTTACGACAAAAGAACAGAATTTAGCTGATTTATTCTTCATTTCACTGATATTAGGCAACATTTGGATGAAAATTAGGGTAAATCAATCTTATGAAAAAGCACTTTGGTTTATGCAGAATTCGCCATAGTGTGAAAATCAGCTCTTTCTTTTGACCACATTCCTTTTTACCAGCTAGAAAACACATTTGGAACGTCTGTCTTTTTATTGTATTTGAGTTCTTAGGTGTTTCTTGTTTGCTCTCTGCTGCCCTCTTGTGTCCTTCTCCTTCCCTTAGCTCCCTTCTAGACTCCTCTGTTCACACCTGCTCCCAATCTGCTGGTTAGCCTACTGTTTGTTTCTGTCTCCCATATATGCACCTCCTGCTCAGTCACTGCGGCTGGTTTTTCATCATTTCTTTGCCCCATTGTTGTGAAGATTCTTGGTTTCCAGTATTTGTGGATTTATATTTTTGGATTTTTCTGTTACCTTTTTTTTGTTCTTAAATCTGCAAGTAACCACCTTCAGCTTCAGTCCAACAGACATGACACTTCCATGATTCAGTCCAACTTTGCTGCAGTTATGGTCATGATGAAGATCTATAGTCTGAAGCTTTTTGCTTCGAATTAGGTGAAGCTTAAAATGTGTGATATTTTTTCTGTTTTAATCACCAATAAATCAGAAAATGTGAGTTTAACAGTATTGGCTCAAATTGAAAAATATTCTTTAATGACTTTGTGTCAAACATTTCCAGTTTATAACTTTGGAGCAACACTTGATTTAATCAGAAAGGTTATTCCTGTAGAAGTTGCTCCTAAAGCCCTCTGGATTTAAGGCCTCCAACAGGGGCGTTTCTAGGAACAAAGCTTTACTGGGGAACTGGCCCCCTACTGCATATGCCCCTTCTTCCATACACAAATACAGACAAGCACACTGCCCCACCCTGATACATTCCTACCAAAATTAACAGTTGCATTTGAGTAGAAATAGACGTCTCCTCCCGTTGGAATTATCTAAATTGATGCATTAAAAAAATGTATTACTGTTGCAAATATTCATGAGATTTATACTGGGGCACAGCGCATTTATACTGGGGCACAGCTTATTTATACTGGGGCACGTGCCCCAGTATAAATGGGGTCTGGCGACGCCGATGGCACCAATCATCAGGAAACCACAGAAGTTCCATCATCTACCAATATTGGTCACCTCTTTTACAATCACCAAAAAAAGCTTAAATCTTACATTGATAAGAGTTGTAATTGGAAAATAGAATAATTATAAAATATAATTTGATTATTTTTTCTGAACACTAAGCTCTGTAATCAGATACTTTCTATATTCTGAGTCAATCGTTTTTCTCCTGATGCTGTAGAGCAACAACAGAGGAATGAAAAGGCTTAGCTCAGCTGAATTCTGTGGCCTTGTTCTGTGAGGGTCAGGCAGAGGATATACATTAAATAGATTGCTCACATTGACCCTGACTATTTCCTGTCCTCACCTGATCCTGTAATGGAGCCAAGCTTGTTTGAGATCCTGGCAGCCAGACCCCATAAAATAGCAGAAATGCTAAATCATATCTGGATATTAGCTGAAAGTCGTAGATTTAATAATTCATCCTACATTTTTAAAAGAAAAGAGGTCAGTTGGAAGCTTTAAGTTCACCTAATTTTAAAAATATTTGTTGGTTAATAAGTTTGAAAGAGTTTCTTTATCCTTCGTGTCATTAGACAGATTCTAGTTAAACTTTCTAATAAAATCTCTGAAAGGATCTTTATTATGTCTTAAATCAGTTTATCCTCCAAGCAGTCACTGCTTTATCAGATCATTATATTCTTTATTTCAGAAACAGAAGTAGGACATTTTAAATCAATAAATTTCATAGTCATATACAGCAAAAATTATACTCCTTTCTAGTTGCTGGAACAACCCCCCACCCCCCCTCTGCAAGACCCTCCTATAGGATACGTAATCCTGGCC